TTTGCGAAAAATCCTACTTTATGACTTTCATTGATGACCACACAAGGAAAGTATGGGTTTATTTTTTGAAGCACAAATTTAAGGTATTTGATGTGTTCAAGAAGTGGAAGGCCATGGTAGAGAATGAGACAGGTTTGAAGATCAAGAGGTTGAGGTCAGACAATGGTGGTGAATATGAAGATACTGGGTTCAAGAAATTCTGTTTTAATAATGGGATCAGACTAGAGAGGACCGTGCAAGGATACCCCACAACAGAATGGGGTGGCAGAATGGATGAATCGAACATTGACAGAGAAAGCCAAAAGCATGCACATATATTAGGGTCTACCCAAACAATTTTGGGCAGAAGCGGTCAATACATCATCCTACCTAATTAATCGTGGACCATCAGTGCCTTTGGAGCATCGAATACCAGAAGAGGTATGGAGTGGCAAAGAGGTAAATCTTTCATGGTTGAAAGTTTTTGGTTGTATTGCATATGCGCATATTAGTGACTATGCTAGAGGAAAGCTCGACCCCAAGTCACTAAAATGCATCTTTGTTGGGTATGGCGGAGATGAGTTTGGTTATCGACTCTAGGGTAATCAGAACAAGAAAATCATCAGAAGTAGAGATGTGATTTTCAATGAGAAGGTGATGTACAAGGATAGAGATGCAACACAGTTAACTAGTCCTGACAGAGTAAGCCTGAGTTTGTTGAGTTAGATGATGATCTAGAGAGCATTGAAGCGAAGCAGACAGATAAGGGTTCTTGGCCAGAACTCACAGAGTATAGTTCACTGCGGATTTCAACTTCTAAGCCTGCACCCAAAAGGTCCACGCGACCTCATGTACCGAATCTAAAATATTTGGATTATATGTTACTCATAGATGATGGTGATCTTGAATGTTATGATGAAGCATGTCAAGTTGAAGATGCTAGCAAGTGGGAGCTTGCAATGGAAGAGAGATGAAGTCCCTTATATCTAACAAAACATGGGAACTAGCCAAGTTACCCATGGGAAAGAAAACTCTTCACAACAAATGGGTGTATAAGGTGAAAGAGGAACATGATGGTTCCAAGAGATACAAGGCGAGAATGGTGGTCAAAGGCCTTCAGCAAAAGTAAGGCATTGACTACACATACATTTTTTCCCCAGTTGTGAAACTGAGTACCATTCGTTCAGATCTTAGCATTGTTGCAGCAGAGGGGTTGTACCTTCAGCAGTTAGATGCTGAAACTGCTTTCTTCCATGGTGACCTAAAGGAGGAGAATTACATGCAACAATCAGAGGGTTTCTCAGTCAAAGGGAAAAAGAAACTAGTGTGCAAGTTAAAAAAAAGCTTATATGGTTTGAAGCAAGCCTCGAGGCAGTGGTAGAAGAAGTTTGATGGTTTTATGAAGCTATATGGCTACAATAAGAGTAACGCTGACCATTGCTGCTACTTTAAGAGGTTTAAGTCAAGTTTCATTATCAATCTACTTTATGTTGATGACATGTTAGTGACAGGTTCTGATTTTGAAGAAATTAGTAAATTGAATAAGCAGTTGTCTAGTGAATTCGAGATGAAGGATCTTGGTGCAGCGAAATAGATTATTGGGATAAGGATTAGCAGAGACAAACAGAAAGGTACTTTACAGTTGTCTCAGGCTGAGTACGTTGAACGGATTCTGAAGAGGTTCAACATGAATAATGCTAAGGCGGTGAGTACTCCCTTAGCTAATCACTTCCGATTATCTCAAGATTAGTGTCTGAAGACAGAGGATGAGAAAAACTTTATAGCTAAAATTCCATATGCCTCAGCCATTGGAAGTTTAATGTATGCCATGGTGTGCACAAGACCAGACATTACATATGTAGTGGGAATAGTAAACAGGTTCATGAAGGATCCGAGCAACCTACACTGGGAAGCAGTGAAGGGGATATTGAGATATCTATGAAGTACTGTAGACAGATGCCTATGTTTCAAAAAGGACAAAGTGAAGTTACATGATTATGTAGATTCAGACTTTGCTAGTGAGGTGGACCACAGAAGAAGTAGTCATGGGTATGTGTTCATGGTGGGTACAACTGCAGTTAGTTGGGTTTCGCAAATACAGAGGATTGTAGCGTTATCTACTACAGATGTAGAGTATGTGGTGATGACAGAGGCTAGTGAAAAGATGATTTGGTTACAAGGTTTGTTAACAAAGTTGGGATTCGAACAGGTGAAGAATGTTTTGCACAGTGATAGTCAGAGTGCGATACATCTGGCAAAGAATTCAACATTTCATTCAAGGACCAAGCATATAGAACTTCGGTATCACTTTATCAGATCTTTGTTAGAAGATAGGGTGTTGACACTTGAGAAAATATTTGGCACTAAGAATCCGGCTGACGTGTTGACCAAGACTGTGACCATGGAGAAACTGAAGTTGTGCGCAACTTCAGTCGGTCTTCTAGCTTGAAGACAGAAAAAAGCGCACCGACATGTATGGGACATGCATGAGAAGAAGATGGAATGGGTTTACAAGTGCTCCAGCCTCCAAGTGGGAGATTGTTGTGGTTTTGTGGAGTCTGATTAATTTTTAGGAATGTTTAATTATATGGAAACTCCAATACTGCTGAATTTTAGAGAAAATTCAGTTTCCTGATCTGTTTTAACTTCCTTATTGGTTTAAGGAAAATTTAGTTTTCTGACTGATTTAATTTCCTTATTGGTTTAAGAAAAATTCAGTTTCCTGATCTGATTTAACTTCCTTATTGGTTTTGAATTTTACAAAACGCAAGTTATTATAGGACAAGTTTGGGGACTCTATAAATATCAACTCTAATTAGATTGTGTGAAAGTTAGAGATAAATTTGTGCCAATATAAGAGAAAGCAATTGAGAGAGATTGAGAGACAATTCTCCACTGCAATTCTTCATCTTTTTCATAGTGAATTTGTTCGGTGAGTTCCATGGATGTAGCCCTAAGATTTGGGTGAACCATGTATATCTTGTGTGTGATTTTTTTTTATTCTTCGTGATTGCTTGTTTATTCCTTGAATAATGTTGTTTATTTTGCATTTCTACCCCAACAACTAGTATCAAATCCGGTTGATTGTGCAATGCAAATCTAACAGTGTTACCATAGAAAATATGAGTCCAACAACTTAGTGTTGTGCTCATCTAAAACTATTTTCTTACAGAGGGTCCAGAGAAGAGAGGGACATCGATCTATAAAAAAACAAAAAAAAAACAACAAAAGACAACTCACACCTGAGACAGAATGTTCGATACATACACTCCCCCCAACCCAACCCATCTCTCTCTTTAATTTCTTTGAGACAACTGTGTTAATATGATCAATTAACCCAAATGTATCAATGTGATATGTAAAACAATATATTCTGATAACAAATATCAATTGGTACAGAAAAAAATTAAATAAACAGATTAGTATTAGCGTGGTTGCTAACCTGGATGAAAAATTCTGTTTGAGTAGATAACATTCGATGCAATGTGCGACATGTTGATGAGCGTCACTGATCATTCCTTCCTACAACAGCTTTAATAAGACATCAATGGGCCTTTCCAGATATATTACTCAAAAGAATGACACAATACGCCTAAGAGTGACACGGCAGCCTGCAGCGAAGTTTTTGATGCCATGTTATCTTTCTTGTCCTGATTCCCGGCACTAGATATTACAAAGACATTAAGGTAAGCTTCGCTACTGCCCAATAGATACGTCAGGGTTTCCATGTTCAAGGAGTCTGACTAGGCCAAGACACTTCGTGCAAATAATGTCTAATAAGTGTTTTTCTGGCTAATGTGGTTCACATTTGACAGAGTAATATATGTTGAATGCTACTTTCCTGAATATTTTAGGTTGTCAAGGAGACATTTATCAATTGCAATTAAATATAAATATAGACATGAATGATAAGAATAACTATAAGAGATTAGATTAAATAAAATGGAACACTATGCATATTGTCATATGACTCTATTCATCCTACACCAGGAGATGCACAGGTCGGGAGAGGAAGAGTTTTTTTTTTTTTTTTTTTTTTTTTTTAAAGTAGATTCAAATATGCAATCATAATTTAACCAAAATTTATATGAAATGATGTAATTAAAAATTGTTTTTAAAAGATTAAATTAAAAAAACAATAACAATCAGAGCACTGACAATTCCTATAATTGTTATTGGTAACTCAATTTTTTATTTTTTGTTGGAAGGTAATTGGTAACTCAATTACGATGATACTTCTTATTGTTCATTGAATGGATCATTCCTCATATTAGAGAATAATAAAAAGAACGTTTTTTGTGCAATTGTTATTATTATTATTATTATTATTTTTTTGCAAGAAACTCACAAACTCTATAACCTTACTTTTGAAAAATCATCTCGCCTTTTACTTGTGAAAGAGGAAGAAACCCCATGGGCGCCGTGCTCACTGCTCCCCAACTCAACAAAGTAATTTTTGCTGTTCACCCAATTTGACTCCTATTTTTGTTCTTTCAATTGGAGCGGAGCTTGGAATTTTTAGTTGTGGTGTTAAAAATTGAAATATTTAGGAATCAGTTGCACTATAATTTTTTCTATACCATTAGTCTTAGTATATATATTGAAGAAAATATAATTAAAATATGATAAATGAAACCTAAATAAATATAGATTGACATTAAATTGGTAGAGAAATGGGAAAAAAAAATTAAAAATTAATTTTTCTTCATCAATTATTTCAATATATATATATATTTTAAGTACTTTGATTCTACTTTTAGAAAGATATATCATTATTATCTTGAAGAAAGATGAACAATTTTTTTTATTTTTATTTTTATTTTTATTTTTTATCAATGTTAACTAAACAAAATCTTGTAAATTTTAATAAAACATAATTATTAGCAACAAAATAGGGACGTATTATAGAATAGTTATAGAATTCGTCATTTGACAACTAACAATTAAAAATAATATATATATAGATATATATATGATATCATTATGTTAGTATAACTCCAAACAGGGTGTAATGTCGCAAATGTTACTCAACACTCATAAATCATATGCTACACAAAATAACCTTCAATCACAATGACTAATTATTGAGATTTATATTCACATGATAGAACAAGACGGGTTGGGCTCCTCCGAACGGACCACTTGAATGATGGGCATTGGCTGGTACATGGGCCAATTGTATGGATATTGGATCTCTGCCTGGGCCTTCTGGTCAGGCTTCTTGTCATCGGGCTTCTTTTCCTCGGGCTTCTTGGCATCTTGCTTTGGTGGAGCTGGAGGAGGCCCAATACTCACCACTTCAGCGTGTTTACCAGCTTTCCTTGTCCGGACTATTATTTCATACGGGTCAGCATCACCCGTTACCGTCAATGTTCCTTTGGCTTCATCAACTTCCACTTTGTCTACACCTGCCCACACATTTATAATATAAATAGTAATGAAAACATTTATATAATCCTTCAACCCTTTTTGGTTATTTATTTTTGTGAAACAACATCTAAAAAAGCACACAAAAATATTTTACTAGAAATTTTAATAATTTATGGTTTCACAACATAACATTACTCGTCTCAAAATTGTAATGTGATATGCATGACTGAAACATTAGTTTAGATAATATAACTTATTTAGTTTAAAGAGAGCGACATAATTTAAATCTTATAAATTCCAACACTCAATTCGGCTCTCAACCATAATTTATATGTTTTTGTCTATTAAATAAATATTTAATCCTCCTCCTCATCCAAGATGCCACTTACTCACATTTATATAATTTTTAAATACTTCTTTCGTTCGCAAATACATGTTATTTGTGATTTGTGAACAACTATTTTAGAACAAAGGGGTACTTAGTAGTAATAAATTATAAATGATAAAAAAAATTTTAAAAAAACACTGCAGGTCGCATGTGCCTCACAAATTCACAACGTGTTACTTTTTGTTGGGCCACGTCACACCTATCAGGAGGAACATCCTCTGGACAGGGCAGGAGGAAAGCATTGTCCTTCTCATATTTGCACGTAAATTCTTTACCAATTTTATTAGTTATATATAATATTGATCAAAAGAGATTGACACAGTAAAGAAATTAAGGAACTATTATCACCCAAGATTAAATATATATATATAGTAAAAACTGGTAGCCCAATCACTGCAATGATAACATATATAGCCGGGGCACAAAAAAATTACAAGTTTTGTGTGTGTGTGTATAATATTTTCCTAAGAGATTTATATTGGTATTATGAGAAAACTCTATGCCACTCCACTTATCAAATCCATGCATCATAATAAATACCATGTCTCTAGTATGTCAATACTCAATAACATAAAACTTAATTGTGGAAATTAACTATATAATTAATTGGGCAAGGTATGTATATATATATATACACACACACATTGTGCCAAAACTATTCAGACATTTTTTTTTTTTTTTTGGGAAAATTAAAGCAATTTTCATTGAATAATTGAATTTACAAAAAGGCCTTAGGCCCAAAGATGAAGAAAGCAAGCCCAAGCTTGAGACAAGGCTGTGAAACAAGCCCAATAAGGAAACATTCCTACCCAGGTGTAGTAACTACCAGTAACTACAATAGCCATTGACAAAGGCTAAAAATCAATCCGGTGACATTGCAGCAGCGGCTAAGCCGCCGTGAATTAGTCCGGCAGACATGATCAAAGAACATATGGATGAAGTATTTACCCAAAAAAAACATATGGATGCAGTACCCTTTAAATTGATTAGCAACAAATAATAAGAACTTTCTTACGTAGATTACTTTTTCTTCCAAAAACGTTGCAAAAAAACAAAGTGCAGAATGGAGGGTAAATACAATAGATAGTCAAAAGTTGCATTACCTTCTAGTCCAGTCACTGCTTTGAGCAGCTTCTTCTTGCACTTTTGGCATGAAATATCAACCTTCAACACAGTCCTCTGCACCATGGATTAACCCTCTCTCTTTTGCGCGATCGATCGATCAAGTTACAAATTAATTACAAGCTTTCTGTGTGATATTTAATCAATTAAGGACACACAATCTATACAGAAAAAAACCAGCTAAACCAGCTTTGGGTTGTTCACCACCCTCTGAAAATTTCCAAAAAGACATTGAACTTTGCTATTGTCTTCTTTCATATATATAAGCAAGCAATTAATGTTATTAATTTAAGCACCCAAAGCATTGGAGTTTTCAACCCAATTTTGCATGCATTGACTTTGAATTTCGAATTGAATCATCAATTAATGTACGTACTTGTTGTTTCATGAGGCCCGTCTATCACCATGCGCCATATACTGCAATAAACAAGCCAACTGCCCAAAGCCACTGACTAGCAGGTATACCAATATCGACCAAAGAAACCAATGAAGGCTAAGTTAGACCTAACATAGATTAAGAAATTGAAGATAATTAATACAGAAAGCAACTAAAAATATGATATAAAATCTCTATAGATATATCTACTCTTTTTTTTTTGTATTGGTGAGTATATATATAGTACGTGTGGATTTTGTTTTGATTTTGGTTGTTAAGTAGTTGAAATTATCAAAGATCCTATTCTCACCAAGTTAGATTCACACCACTATGGATTTGTCAAATAGTTTTTTTTTTTTCCCTGTAAATAAATATATTTTGTCAAAGTCTAGTGTGTATATATGTAGTGGACATGGGCCATTGGCCAAAATATTAACAAACTTAGAATGAAAACAGCACTATTTCTTTCCAAACCTGAAAGCCTAATCAGTCCTAAAAATATTTAGGCCCAAGCAGACAGCCCACTTAGGGAAAATCAAATAACCGTTGCAGCAAGGCTACGGTTCTTGCCTAAATTCAATCGTCCCTGAATGGAGGATTCTGGCAGCCTTGGCTGTGGTTTTATGAAGGAGGAGAGAAAGTCCCCACAATATCACACATATATGTATATATATGGATTACATTTTTAAATTTTTTTTTTTTTTACATGTAACCATATAATGTGATTAAAATTGAACGGCACAGATCAATAATAGAATGCTTAGATGATCCTTATAAGTTCTAATTTATCAGAATAATCTAGTATGAACCCCATCAGATTGGATTTTACACAGGTTAGTGATCAGGTAATTTATCAGAGTGGTTTGAGAGTTATAAAATATTACTTTTCTAATCTGTTTTTTACTATCCATTTAAACAGCATTTGTCTACCCAAAAAATTAAATTTGTTTTTTCTCCTTGACAAGTGTGAACGCATCAGATCCCTTCAAGCAAGATTCCACCACCCAAACCCAATAATGCCAATTTTAGATAAAATAATTATAGTCCCGTCACCTTAAGTTAACTTGGTCTATAGTGAATATATATATATATATATATATATATATATATTATAAAGTTCAAAAAACGATTAATAATAAAATAAAAAGGGACAGAAATCAATTAGTTTTACACTTTTACTTCTATTTTATAAAGTTCTAGCAATCTTTATAAGAATTAATAAAAAGATTATATTCCTCATTTACCGTGTCCACACCCATCTACCATCATACATCTTCAATCATATTTCAATCACGTTTGACTACTTTAATCTAAATTCGAAAATGACTAAATAATAAATAAAACAAAAATAAAGGATGGATGACATCGTTGAAACACTTTAAAATGAGATCTAAAGGGAGCTCAAACTCATCAACTGACTTCAAAGATTCAGAAGAACTCCCCACCCACCACCATGCATGTGGATAAAGTTTTCCACATGACTGTAGGAGTTGGAGAAACTAGCCATGCCAGAAACTCTGCACTTCAGGTCTCTCTCTTCTTCTACCATCTACCCAACACTTTTATTTATTATTATTTTTTTAAAAAACATTGGTGCATATATTACAATTACCTGACATGACTTCCAACTTCTTCTGCAGAGGAAGGCCTCTCAAATGGTGAAGCACATAACCTTGGAGGCCATTCAAGAAGTGTATCTCACAATAGCTCAAAAGGGCTTAACCATAGCTGACTTGGGTTGTTCAACGGGACACAACACATTATCAATCATACGAGAAATGGTGGATGCCATCGAAGCTACTAGTCGGCAGCTCTTGCAACCGGCACCAGAATACCGTGTGTACCTGAATGATCTTCCGACCAACGACTTCAACACAATCTTCAAGGCATTACCGGATTTTATTAGGGAGCTCAGGGAAGGGATAGATGATGGAGGTCCATGTATTTACATAGCTGGTTATCCAGGCTCCTTTTATGGAAGATTGTTTCCTGACAACAGCTTGCACTTCATCCATTACAACAATAGTTTGCACTGGCTCTCTAAGGTAACCTTCTTTTCTCTCAATTTTTTTTTTTTTTTTTTTTTTTTTTTTGACTTTTATCTTATTGATTTTTTGGGAAAATGGTATAAAGCAAGTCTTGTTCAATTTTGTTAGCTTTTGGAACATATGACTTTCTATATTGTTCTCGTGGAAAAATAGATCAACTCCCCTAAAATTTGCACATTATGACTTTCTAATTCTTAGAAATTGTTATTGAGTGATCTTTATTTCAAAACACTAGGATTGTGTTTGGCTGCATGGAATTGGAGTCTTGAATTGGTGGAATTAGACAAAATGTCCAAATCCAAAGCTCCAATTATATGCGACCAAGGAAAAATTATTAGAGGGAATGAACTTATTTAGTGTGGAATAGCATTCTATGTCTTAATTAAAAATTTGGAAGTCGAAGTCTTTGTTCTTTTCAGGATGCAGAGGATATATTAATAGTACCATCTAAGATAAAAGTGTATTTGTACATTAGATATACAAATGGAAATTAGGTATATATATGCAACATTTACCTGTTGTAATTGTGACAGTCTGACCTATATATATCAACTATAATGTTATGTAGGTTCCTCCGGGACTCTACGATAAGCAGGGCAAGTCAATAAACAAAGGAACCATTTACATATCTGAAGGATACTTCAGGCAAGTCCAAGAGGACTTCTCACTGTTCCTCCGATTATGATCCGAGGAGCTGATCAGCGGGGGAAAGATGGTGCTGCTCTTGTTGGGACGGTTGGGTTCAAATCATGTAGACAGAGGCAACGCTTTCTTATGGAAAGTTCTATCCAAGTCCTTGGCCATTTTGGTTTCTCAGGTACAATAAGTACTGTTACTGAATTGCTTGGTCATATGTTTAAGAGTACATTTTATATATATATATTGATATGAATATGTATTGATAAATGAATGGTTGTGTTGTTTTGTAGGGAGAAATTGAGGAGGAAAAGCTTGATTCTTATGATGTTCATTTTTATGCACCATCCAAAGTAGACTTAAATAAAATCTATGCCATGTATTTATATAATAACATGACTAGTGTTATAAAGTTATTTTCGGCTGTTTGGAATTGAAAAAAAATTAAATTCAAAATTATATCAAACTTTTCTTCAATTCTACCAATTCTAATTCTAAGACTCCAATTTCATACAGCCGAACATTACTGCAAATGCAATTTTGTGTGAGAATTGTGGATTTGGAATTTTAGTACCATGAGAAAGATGAATTAAACGAGTAAAATTCATATAAATATATAATGTACCTATTGCATCAAGTATATTAATTACAGTGTATATAAATGTAGTGGACATGGGTTTTTAATAACCCAATATTAATAAACATGGAATGAAAATTGGACTATTTCTTCCCAAAAATGAAAGCCCAATCAGCCCTAATTATTTACAGGCCACTGAGAAAAAAAACATTCGAATAACACTTCCCCTTGGGCCCTTTCTAAGCCTAGCAATGAGGAATGCTGCATTCTTAGCCTGCCATAATCTGTCAATGCCTTGGGCCCACAAGATTACCACAAAAATTATTGCAACGGATCCGTGTATCATAAAGTTGAATCCCAAATGAATTTTGAGTGGGCAAATTACATACCCCCTCCGTCTCATAATCACAGGCGAATTAAAAAAAAAAAAAAAATTAGAATAGAAAATTTTAACCCAATATTAAAACAAAACAAATGAATAATAGTATTAGTCCCCCTGCAAATATTAGTCCATCTAAACAAGTTCAAGATTTAAGCCACAGTTTTAAAATAAAGGCACAACCAAACAAGCCCTAAAGTCCGACTACAGAGCCAGAGTACAAATCAAAGAGCTCCCTCCAATATATCTAAATTTCAAACTTGATTATATATATATTTAAACTTGAAAAGGTATTTTGTAATTTTCAAAGAGGACAATACAATAATTACATATCCTTTTAAAAAGTTCTACTTCTCATAAGATACATCTATTATGAGACGGAAGGAGTATAATTCTTTTACTACTTTCAATTTTTGGGACACTAACTCCTAAAAAAGAATTGACCAAAAACATTCCTACACTATATCCCATTGTTATAATTACGGAAATGCTCCTTAATAAAATTATATGTTTTTTTGAAAAAAAAAAAAACATAAAATTTTGTTGTTTTAGGGACATGAAATGTAAATTGATCAGTCAAAATGAGATGTGCTTGTTGGTTGACCACAAAATTGAAGTCTTAACACAGCTTCAACAGAATTTTTAATTAACAACTTACTTCCAAAGAGTTGCCTAACAAAAATTGATTATTCCTTTCCCACCCCCACAGGGCTTGGGAAGGCATGACACCTTCTCAAATCGGGTCCAGACAAAAGATATCCGGCCCGTTCCAAAACTGTCCCATCATATTGGCAAAATTTGCAATTGTACCTAACTTAACAAACTACTGTATCCACGCACGCCATTAAAAAATTGAAATATGCGGTCTTCCAATTAACCACGTATTATGGTAAAAAAAATAAAATTAACCACGTATTTATGCATGCCAAATGGTAAATTATAATATTTTTTTTAAAAAAAGATAAATTATACATATATTTATCAATATCTCACACAGACTTCTCTTACTTTTATAATTTTACCTATCTCTTTTGAGGTTGTACTTTATATAAT